GGGTTGACGATATTCAGCTACGCAATTAATTTTAGCTCGACCTGGCTGAATTGTACCAGCAGAGATTTCATGGCCTAGATAATTAGCGGTACCGGTTTTAGATTAGCTTTTGCAAGTAAACCCATGACTTGTTCCAAGAGTTCCAATCCCCTTTTTACTGATACAGTCGGAATCATAACATCATCTAAATATACAGCTATTTCGGAACATACTTCCCCTAAAGTTACTTGTATTAGTCGCGCAAATACAGCTGGTGCATTAGATAATCCAAAAGACATTTTTAAAAACTCATACAGGTCTGATTGAGTAATAAACGCGGTTTCCCCTACGGACACATCATCAATTGGTACTTGGTAGTATCCCTGAGCGAGGTCTAGTGTTGTAAAATAGGATTTACCCGATAGACGAGTGACTTGATCTATGTGGGGTAGAGGGTACCGATCTTTAATGGTGTTAGCATTCAACGCCCTATAATCGACACAAAGCCCTCCTTTTTTCTTCACTAGGACAACAGGACTAGCATACTTCGATGAAGATTTTCTTATAATTCCTGCTTCCAAGAGTTCATTTATTTTGCTGTTCATTATTTCATTTTCCTTATGTGAAACTCGGTACGGTTTACGATACACAGGTTGGTTAGAAATAGTTTTTATGTATAATTTAGTTAAGTTAGTACACCCTAAATCTTTCGTGCCTCTGGCAAATGAATGGTTATACCTATTTAGTAGCTGTAGCAATTCATTTATCTCCCTATGAATCAGTTCACCCGCATCAATATCAGTCAATTTAATTTCGGACTTATTAGACTAGGTCTACAATAAGAGTATCGGTTACAAAATTATTATTTTTTTGTTTTAAAATCTCCGCTCTAGCTATGAGCCTTTAGTTTCTTCCCAACGTTAAGTACCTTTAAATACGACATACTCGAATTAATGATCGCTTCTGGTATATAATACGATAACCCACCTAACTGAAAACACACTGCATGTGTTAGAAATGCGTGCTTATTTTTGTCAGCATTACTGTTACAATCGACACTTACGCTAATGTATGCATAGGTTTGGTTAGGTAGTAGTGACCTCTAATTTTGTAAAGACTGGAAATGTCGAACCATATTCAATTATGTTAAAACTGTTATTTGTGAAGATATCCCCTAAAGTATAGGTTGGAACAAATTTTACGCTATTTGACGTCGTAACTAAGCTCACATTTTCTTGATTTATCATTGATTGTCCAATTATTAAATCTATGCCTGGTAGCTTGCAATCGGTTAATTCTACACTTCCTACCAAAAATAAATCATCAACATTTACAATAATTTGGCAAGTACCTAGCAAATATGAACAGGCCCCCCCCAAAACCTCTCATTACAACGACCGAGGACTGTGTTTTAAGTTTCATTTTTCTGGCTTGTATAATAGTAAGTATGCTAAGCTTACTTACAGTATCTATATAGGCCATCAATTGATTACCATTAACAATGAATATCTACCCACTTTTCTATATATATATATATATATATATATATATATATATATATATATATATATGTGGGTAGATATTAAGCGTTACGTTTAATACGTCACTAACCTTATAAGCCTGTTGTTGCATGGGACCAACTCCAGAGTAAGTCGCAGTCCCGGCTGCATACCAGCATGCAGCAGTTGCGTGCCCGAAGCGCTGACACACACCGCAACGCTGCTGGCAGTCCTTCCTTTCATGTCCTGGTCGTCGACACACGTAGCAGATCTTGGGAACGAGCTGACGGCGACTCGAAGTAATTTGTGTATTTTTTCTCCAGTAAGAGTTGCTCGGTGTAAACGCCGACGTATCCCTGCGCTTAACGTTCTCTAGTGATGACAGATAACCGAAATATAGTTGTTCGGGCGTTTCACAATTGTAGGCTTTAGCATTAGCTCTCAATTCAGGTGGTAAGCCTCGAATAATACGGGAGATTGCATGTTCACCATTAATGTTGAATTTTTGAGAGTGATAAGTTTTCATGATAATATTTAGTCATCGTTTCATCGTCGCTTTTTGATCTTGCCAGCATTATTTCTAGCCTGTCTACGTAGTCGGTAGATCGAGGAAAAGCAGTTTGAAGTGCTTCCTTCCACCCGTCCCAAGTAAGGGTATAATCGTCAAGGTCATCGTACCACTCCCGAGCAGATCCCGCTCTGGAGTGGTACTCTGATGTAATTGCATTATAAATTGGCGATCTTTGTTATTCCACCCATATATGTCACCTAACTGGTCAATTTTATGCAGCCATCCAGTAACGTTGCTGGTTTGATCGTCTGGGCAGAATTTGGGTATGATTTCCGCATCTATCGCAGACACACGACGCCATTTCGCAAGCATAGAAATTTGTTTTTCAGAAAAAGAAATGTCTTCATCTTCATCCGAGCTTGCAGTGTCTTCGTATCTTCGCTTATGCTCTCCTAACCCTCCGATATACGGTCCGGACATAGTAAATACGATCCCACTTCTGAAGTTTTAATTAGTAGATATGAAGTAAAACAGATTACACAGTAGCACCTTTTATTCACTCGATCAAACGAATCACAGTAATTATGTATTATTCCTTGCTTAATGTAAATGAGCACAGATTTGAGCAGAGTAACTAACTTGTAGGCAGGAGACTCACAACTGAACGCCCACTAAGTTTTTTTTTTTTTTTTTGCGCCCGAAGCAATTAAAGGGCTACCCTGTACGTAGGGAGGCGGAAAATGCATTACGCATACCACGATAGCCGGTCTATCGTGGTTATGGGGGACTCACTGTCCTACCGGGGACCCTAAGTGATACCCCCTAAAAACCGCCTTTGGGGACAGGCAACCGGCTGATTAAGCTCTATTGTGCCTTATCATGAGCGACCCTCTTTTGGGAAAAGAGGGCGCAGGCGGCTAAGTGCCGCTGAGGGAGTGCCTACGAAGGCAAATTAATGTCAGATATTACAATAATTTTATTTAATTAGAGTTGGCCTGAGCCGCCAGGAGACAGTTCAGGTCGTTTGAAAGTTTATTAGGCGGGTCCGAGAGAGAGTTTCTCGGCCTGCGGACACGATAGCGAGAGGGGGGTGGGGCTGCATAAGAAGCTGCCTCACGAATTAAATGGTTTGGGTGCGACTCTAAGGCTTTGAAGAAGTTCTCAGAGAGTTTTTTAAGAAATTGTTGAATTGTTGGGAGCTCTAAGTCCCGATGAAGGTCGGCATTACGAACGTACCACGGTGCGTTCGCAGCTCGACGACAGAATAGGTTCTGAACTATTTGGAGTTCATTTAAAATGTTAGGGTTTGCGTGGGCAAAGACGGGGCCCGCGTAGGAGGCCCACTAAGACACAGCAGTACCTTTTATAGTTTATGACGATGTTACGATTACCACAAATTTTATTATTCTTACATATGTTACTCTACGGTTTTATAATTTATTAACCTTATAATCATGTTGTTGATGGTTTCAAATCCATTGGTAACACATAATAAAAAGTTTAATTTTCGGTATACACAAATTATTATTATTAAATCCACAAAAATAAAAGTAGGCTTTGCTTTTAGCAGTTCCAAGCTTGTGAAAGATAAGGCCCAGCGGAAACAAGTAGGCTATATAGTAAAGTATCGAGCATGCGCTCAGATCAGGTCAGACTATGTTGTGGAATGAAATATCATAGGTTCATGTGATTTTGAGAATTTGGTTTCCTAAATTGTTAACCTAAGATTTTCCTGCAGGTAAGCTACTTCTAAAATGAAATACACTGAAGTTACCTTAACAATACAATCTAAGTCAGTTTTAAATTCTTGGTAAAAGTAATAAGTACTTCAAGCACAGATTAAATATTAGCTTCAAGGTGAGTGGGGCAGTCACCGAAATTTAATAAACGACGCGCTACAAACATGTTTAATTCAAAAGTTCAAGAAAACGCTGTTATGACCTGTTTGTAGCCAATTAAATCACGAAAAACCACATTTTAAAGTAAATAAAAAATATATATATTTGCAATGTAAACTTTATTGTTTTCAAATATACATCTAATTATTACAACATCAAAATTAAATTTTAACTTTACCTTTGTGATTTTAAGACAACACATACATGTAATGTAGCTAATCCATCAATATAACATCTATAGTTCATAAAAACATTGAAGTTCAATGAATACTGAAGAAAATACTTAACACATAAATAATGTAATTAACTTTACTTACATCTAAAGACTTGGAAAACACACCAACATTAAATATAATAATATAATATAAAAGGTACAAAAAATTATATAGTGAACAAATTCATTGGGAATTAAGAGATGTCAGGTTAATTTCATAAAACAATAAATTAATAAACCTGTCTTTCAACAATACCCTGTATATTAACTCACAACAATTCTGATATAAACTCTTTCTCTCTCTGCATAAACTGTAGGAAAATGTAATACTAACATTAGATAAATATAATAAACAGGATCAAAAATATAACTCTTCAAAATATTGAGATTCTTATAGACTCTAACACATTACATCCTATAGCAGAAATTTTCAGTAATATCAGACTCACAAGTTGGACAGTAGGAATGTGCACAGCTTAAAGCTAAGGATAGGTAACATTAAGTGTTAAACACTAATGGTTTTACATCAATTTTGGATTCCCTAACACCAAGATTAGATCTACACAATACTAACATATAAGACAGACATTTAACATCAAATTACCATATATTTTTGAGCTACATTCGAGAACCTTTTGTTACCGAGCTGACCTGACGAATAATATTCTATCAAATGGAAGGACAGCACATCCTAATGATTACTTATTTTAAAATTTTTAATTAATAATTTAATTGTTAAATGACAGTTAATCTTAAACTAAATTGTGCAAAAATCATGTTTTTAAGTTTGGAGCACAAAAACTTTTAGTGTTTTTAAATAAAATTAACTAAAGGGAATAAAACAGATTAAAAACAATATCACAATTATCAACATAAATGATGGCATATATTTTGCAAATTTAAATTTCGTAATTACGGAATTTTGAAATCACTTCAGATGGTGGCTCTTGGTTACCACCACCCCAGCGTCCCCAAAGAGCAGCTCCACCTTCAGAAGCTCTACGAGCAGCTGCATTACTAGGACCCAAGCTGGAAGGTCCAGACGAACGGCCAAAATCACCCTCTAACATACGGTCTTTAGTATTAGGTTTGGACCAATGCATAGATTGCTGTACATGTTCTTTCATACCGAGCCATTGCTTGTAGCCCATGGCTATTCCACTCTGCCTCCACTTGTCATAAAGAGCCCTTTTAGCTGGATCACAAAGAGTCTCTTTGGCTTCCTATAAAATATTTAAAAAAAATTTAACCAGGAAATATACCTAACTGAAAACAAATATTTTTATCACATATAAGTTTTGTTACTGACTCTACTTATAATACACAACCAATAAAGGTATTTACCTTTAGTTGTTGAAACTTAGCTTCAGCATCTTTATCACCATCATTCTTATCAGGATGGTGCTGCAGAGCCAACAACTTGTACTCTGCAGTTATCTGCTCAACCTGAGGTAAGCAATACGCAGAGAACGGTTATTCATAATGCATGAAACAAATTATAATAGACACAATTAGTAAAAGCCGAACGAGTTCTTTCCAGTACCTATTTTATACAAAATTTTCCTTATAATCAAAACCTAAGAACGACAGATAGTTGTTTTGTATTATGCAAATTGATATAGAATGTAGGTCACCTCTCCGAGGCCCCAGCTAAAATAGGGTCATTGAAATTGAATAGAACATAGAAATCAATACTTTTTATACGGAAATTATTACAGCTACATAATCTATATAACAACGATTTAATAACATGAATTTTATGTGAAGATTATCCTAAACTCACCGAGGAATTTTCGTCGCATCCAAGCAAAGCGTAATAGTCGTCCTCGGGATTTCTTTTATAATTTAATATCTCATCCACCCCAGTCATTTTTACAGCCTATCCTCCCTTCCAATTAAACACCCATAGACACAAGACCACAGCCACTGCCTGTGCCTGGCCGCCACAGACACAGACTTAGGGATGCAACCGATACATCGATATATCGTTCATAAACATCGATGTTTTAACATCAATGTTGAAACACAAAACATCGATAAACGTCGTGAGCGATGTTTTATGAACGATATCTTTGCTTGTCGTCAAAAATTCAAAACCATGAGCTTCCGAAATAACCGAATAATCGAAAATATAAAATTTCGTATGTTGAAAATTGCAAATGATGATTATAACAAATTTTCAGTCGCCGAAAATAAATATTCGAAAAACAAAATGTCGAAGTTAAGTAAGTTTTACGTGGTACATGCTGCAGTTATATTAGTAGTATAGTTGTAGCACGAATGGGTCGGCTCGACCGGGGAAGGATCACGTTCGCACAGAAAATGCTGCTGTATTTCTTATGGTGAGTGTAGTAAACCGGAGACCCCTTTTAATGGAAACGAGGCATTCCATCTTAGTCCTCACGGGTGACAACGCATCTATGTTTTGATTTGTAATCGAGGATAGATGTAGATGTCTATGGGCCGCAGCAACCACTTACCATCAGGTGGACTGTGTGCTCGTTTGACACCCTATCCTTTAAAAAAAAAAGATAACGTCTTAAGGTTGCCCTAGTCGATGGCACGAACTAAGTGGTGGGCGGGGCAAAAAATGCTTGCTATCTCAGCCGACATCTCGTGCGAAAGGGATAGACGCTGTGATGAGCAGTAAGAAGCTAATGCGCACACACATACGCACTCGAGTGACGCAATGCGCGACGGCATCATCGCGTACCTAGGTACCTATGCAATTCATTTTAGAATAATAACATAAACTCAAACGGCACTTGTGAACTTCGTGTCGCAATAGCTTAGCAATGAGTAACTGCGCTGAGTGCCGTGGGTTCGAATCCCCCACGGAACAAATATTTTGTATGGACTACAAATAGTTGTTCCGGGTCTGGATGTTTGTTCTTATGCAATTTATATTTGTAAACTGCCTCCACGATACTGGAGAAAATCGGGGATAACGTATTTTAAAAAGAGAAAGGAGAGAGAAAGCAAATTGGTGTTATTGTAACTTAGAATCTGCTGTGTGAAACGTAATTATTATGAACCGAATTTATGTACTTAGTTGTTATGATGAAAGTTCTTATGTGAAATTAAGTAGATGTTGTTATTATATAATAATTCCATTGATTTGTTTTTACCTACTTTTTAACCGACTTCGAAAAAAGGAGGTGGTTCTCAATTCGTTGGTTTTTGTTTATGTATGTTCTGTCCCCCGATTTCTCGAATATGCCTGAACCGATTTGGATATATTTTCCAGATAATCCCACGGTAATCGACGATGATCAGATCAGGATCTGATGATGGGATCTTGGAGAAATCGGGGGCACTCTTCAATAAATGACAGCAAATCAACCGCGATTGCTGCTATCGCCTATCTATGCATTCTTTACGCAATCACACAATATAATATCACGCCTGTACCCACTAAAGGGACATAACTCTAAACTAAAAACGGTAACATAAAAAACTTTTTTTGAAAAAATATAACAATTTCTAAAACAAACACAAAAAAGTGTAACATAATTATGTTTTCTGTATGTTTTTGTATTTTACTGTAGGTTATGCAAATATTACTGTAGGTACTATGTATTCTAAATAGGTATTTACTTTCCATAGCTAGTTAGCTATAATAGCCCGCAGGCAACTCCCCGACCCCGAAGTATATGTCAGCCAGTGTCAGGGTAACTGCTTTTTCGACAGCGCGATTTTGATGTGAGTGTGGCTTTTATATAGGTAAATCAAATAAAAAAAATGTTAGTTTGTAAATTGTTTATTGATTGTTTGTGTTCAATAGCGGTTTGAAATATTCTCTTAGTACTTACAAAGTTATTAACAACAGGCATTGTGTCACTGCAGGGACAAGCACAAACGTCTATCAAAATAGTAACGTATATAAACGGAATTCTAACAGCATAGACTTCCTTACAGAAGTCCAAAGAACACGTCTAGGCAAGGTAAGTAATTAGAAGAAAACTACAATTTAGATATCGATTGTAAATCAAATTCACAGTACAGACACAATTAGCGAAATATGAATAAAAATTTTATTTATTTTATGATAGATAACGCTAGTTGAAAACTAAACACTGTATGGGAATGGCATCACTGAACGAGTCAGGTGATCAGTCCAAACAAATAAAAGGCGCGATTGTAAAAAGAAATTCGTTACTTGATCGGGGCTTGACCTGTTTATGCTATTCATAACGAAGGCTATAAATATGTAGGTATAACTTAGAAACTAAATCCTATGTGTACTTATCTGTATTCATAACCCAATATCTAAGGTAGGTTATTCTGTAATAAAAGTAAAGTAAAGTAAAGTTACAGCCTATATACGTCCCACTGCTGGGCTCAGGCCTCCCGTCATTTCTGAGAAGGTTTAGGGCAAAGAAGTGTCCGCCGCGCTGCCCAAATGCGTGTTGACGAACTTCACATGTCTTCGAAATATTTTTTTCTTATTCCTCAGACATGCAGGTTTCCTCACAATGTTTTCCTTCACCGCCGAGCACGTGGTAAATCAGCACTTAAAATTGCAATTAACAATTTCATTGGTGCCGGCGGGGATCGAACCCGGGTTACTCGCGTTCTGTTATATTTACAGCGAGCGTTAACCACTGAGCTACCACGGCTCTGTAATAAATTAAATCTAATCCAAAATATAGGTACTATAATACCATAGCAAAGCTACTACTATTTTTTTAGTAGTAGCTTATATAGTAGTATAGTAAATTATATATAATATAAAAATATGAGTATGTCTGAGGTAAGGTTAAATATAAACAAATATTTTGCCAAGTGCGAATCGGACTTCCGAGCTTCCGAGATTACAAGATTTAAATACCTATACATATTACTATCGATCAAAAAAGCCAAAAATACACGTTTCTTTTTCTAGTAGAAAATCCTTTAATTTCAACAATAGGTATATTAGGATATGAGATTCCCTTACGTAAGCACGATTATCGAAAATCTAAAAATTACCTATTCTAATTCAATTAATAGATAATTTTAAGATTTTCGATAATCGTGCTTATCTATGAGATGTTTTCGTTAGTTAGCAAATTAAAGTAGTTAAGTACCTAATGTACTATCTGTATCGAAAGTTCATTATTATGTACCAACTTGTTTTCAATTTTAACTAAACGTGCTTCAACAAACTTATGGGAACATTTTAGCAGCTATATTCATACCGGCTTCAGCAACGGACACGAACAAAAAAAGGAAGCAATTTTTCTAAATAAAGATGTAGATAATTACAACCATAAATAGATAGCAGCGGCTAACCTAGTGAGTATGTGTGAGTGCGCGCTGCGTCCCCCTCCGTCCGTCCCACTGATCGGGGAAATAATTTGTAGCGAAAGGCAAGATGTTTTATAACAAAAACGGGTGCGCGAAATTTTATAAACAGACCTTTGGTAGTCTGGATGTCACGAAAAATCTATTGAATGTATCTGTTTAAAATATAATTATTTGCATTTTTGAACAACTAATCTATCCCTGTATGGTAACTGTTTTGCAATTTTCGTTCTTCTTATGGTATTTATTTCCGCCCAAAGATGTGTTAAAAATAGTTTTGAAATTCGGAATTTTCGACGCTTATAACTTTTAAATATACTCTTTTTTTACTTTTTTGTTTCCATACAGGGCTAGATAATGATGAGCCCAATTGAAATCATTTTTTATTTTGAATGTACACCATCAAACAGTGGAGTTATCGCCGGACTACGTTTGTATGGAAGAATAAGCGACTAGTGTACCCTTAATGTTAGAATGTTTACTTGGTAGAAATAACTCAGTTCCGAAAATTTTAACTATGAATCAACAAACAAACTAAAACTGCTCTTTCATCCGAAAATAAAAATACTCGATATTAGAAGTCCAATTTTCTTCAATTGGTAATTTGATTTTCGATATCAAATTGTCGTTAGCTATTATTGTGATAATTATTAATTTAAATAAGCCTAAAAAATTAAAATGAATTTGTTTTTTCTTATTTTATTTTAAAGAAATAAACGTAATATTAAAAATGTTTAATTACTACTTTTTCTCTATGAAAAATTTATAATTATTCGATAATAATAAATGTGTAAAAGTAAATAGTGTAAAACTTCCTAAAATAACATAAATGTAATATTTGATTATTATACTTCTTTGTTTCATTTCTGTTCAAAATGACTATTACACGAGGGCGGCACTGAAAATTTCGAGAATCAAGGAAGTGACACAACATTACTATTTAAAAAATGTATTTATTGCTTTTCGAAGTATTCTCCGCGAAATTTGACACATTTTTCCATACGATGGAACCAATCATTGAAGCAACCATTCCATTTGGAAGTTGGGGTCTCCAAAATGGTCGTTTTGTAGGCGTCCACAGCTTCTTCAGGTGATGAAAATCTCTGTCCACGCAATTTGTTCTTTACTTTAGGGAAAGCATAGAAATCATTAGGGCTTAGGTCGCGGCTGTACGGCGGATGGTCTAATAATTCTATGTTTTCTTGCTCTAAAAACTCTTTTGTTCTGTGTGCGATGTGAGAACTCGCATTGTCGTGATGGAGGATGATGCGGCGGTTGCAGTTCTCTTTACGGAGTTCAGAAACGACCTGTGGCAAACAAATGCTAGCATACCATTCTGCATTAACAGTTCTTTGTCCCTCAAGAGGAATAGTCGTAACATGGTCGGTTTTGGAGACAAACGTGGCCACCATTTTTTTTGCAACACTCCGTGAACGAACAATTTTTGTTGGCTTTAACTCATTTTCGAACACCCAAACTCGTGACTGGTTTTTTGTTTCGGGTTCGTACGCGTATATCCAGGATTCGTCACCCGATACGATGTTGTATACAGCATTTGAGGATCCTGCGTGGAATCTTTCAAGA